ACCCCCCGGGCGGCGTCGAGCTTTTTCCCTAGCTCCGCCTCCCAGCTCCCGTATTGAAGGCGGAGGGTGTCCTGCGCCTCGTTCATCATGGTGGTGGCGATGAGGGCAGCCTCCCGCTCCTCCTCCACCTCCTTGGCGATCTCCCCCAGCACCTTCCGACGGGCTTCGAGCTCTGACACGTGCCGGCGGTGTGCCTTGCGGCCCACCTCCACCATGGCCTCCACCGAGCGTCGCCCCTCTTCGACACGCGCCCATGCGGCGTCAAGCTCCGCCCGCTCTGCTTGCAGGGCCTCCACCTGGGCACTTAACCCGTCCAACACCGTGGTGTTTGCGACGGCCAAGGCCTGCAGAAGGGGTTCTGCGCTCAGTGGAGCAACGGAAGGCGTGGGGAAGAGCCGCCTCGGTGAGGATGCCGCGCGGCTCGGCCCGCCGATGGACGTGCCGGACTCAGGGATGTCCCCCGGACCTGGCTTGTCCTGAGCGTCGCCCGAGGGAGTGGGCCCAAGCGATGCGCCCGCGGCCTCGTCGCGAGCTGCCTCGGAAGTCGTCGCCGCCTCGACCTGGCGAAGTCTGGCCTCCTCCCGAGCGGCTTCTTTAGCTTGGCGAGCTCGGACGGCCACCTGGGCGGCCTCCTCGGCTTCCCGTAGGCGATCCGCGGCTTCTCGCCGGTCAGATTCCTGCCTCCGAGCCTCTGTGGTCGCTGGGTCCTCGGCCTCAGACTGGCCGGACTTGGAATGGCGGGAGGGACGCGACGGGATCTCGCTGAAACAGAAGAAAGACCAGAAGACAAACAAGATGGATGAGTGAAAACTCGCGTTGAGGGAATGAATACGGCCACGATGGGCGTGGGACGAACCTGTGAGGGGGTCGGTTAAACGACCACCTTGGAGGGGAAATAAGGTTTCCCCGGGATGGTTCTGTCCCCCCCGTCTTGCGGAGCCGTTTCTTCTTCCGCTCCCCCTCGGGCTGCGACGTCGGCGTGGCCCCCTCCGGGCGCCTGCTGCTGGCACGCGCCGCCCCGCCCCCTCAGGGAGGAGATGGGGGAGGGGTTCCTTCCTGCTTCCTCTTCCCCCGGGCGTCGGCAGGGCGGCCGCTCCCCGGGCCCCCGTCGCGGGGCCCAGAAGCACGACCCCCTCCCGGGGTAGATTGTTCCCCTCTGCGGCTCCCGCCCGCGCCATCGTGGCCTCGAGGAGCCCGCTCCTCCGACGCCCCGACCGCCTGCATGATGGTCAGGATGGAGGCGCGGTCTGGATCGCTGCAGAGGGGGAGGACTCCTTGAGGAATGAGGGATGCCTCCACGGAGCTGAGATTCAGCACCCGTTGGACCACTATCTTGAAGTCCTCAGGAGCCCAGTCCCATCTGACCCCCTGGTGGGTCCTCATACAGTCCTCGGACCCGGTGTACTCCCAGGCGCCCCGGGCGCGCCGCTGGAGTGGCGCGATCCGGCGACGAAGATAGTCGCCGAACACCATGGCCCCTGTGAGCCCCTGGGATCGCAGGCCCGCCAGGCGGTCGAGGACGGCGTCGTAGCCATCTCCCAGATCTACCGGCGCCCGCCAGTTGGAGGCCTGCGCTGGAGGCTGGCTCGGAAGTCGGAGGCGCGCTTCGTCGGCGAGGGGGGTGTAGAACCAGTCGCTCTTCCAATCATCCCACTTCTTGCGGAGGACGCAGGGAATGTAGCGGTTCAGCACCGGCCCCCGCGGCTGGAAGTAGCAACCACCAACCACCGACGGCGGCGACACCGGCTGTACGGTGAAGAACCACCGGAACAGCCGAAGGGATGGGCGCACCCCGATGAACATCTCGCACAGGTGCGCGAAGATGGCCAATGTCATTACCGCGTTGGGGGTGAGGTGCGCCATCTGGAGATCGTAAAACTCTAGAACATCCATGAAGAAAGAAGAAAATGGCGGAACCAGCCCTGCCATAGCAAAAGGGAGGAAGAAGACGGACCGCCCCGGGTAGCGTGGCGCCGGGCATCCCTCGCCCAGCGAGACTATCTCCCGGCCGGTGGCAGATTCCGGCATGAAGCGGCGCGGCAGCCCGGCCTGTCTCTCGCTCACGATGCGGGAAGGCGGCAGCACGCTACCGTCAAGCGGAGCGGAGCCCCGTGCCATGACGCCGGAAGAAGAGATGTTTGAGAGCGAGCGCGTGTGGCGAAGGTAGGGCACAGGAAACAAGGGGTTAGGGCGCAAGCGGCGAAGACAAGGGGAATAATAGCGAGAGGAAGGAAGCAAATCTCTTCCTCGGCGACTTTATACCCTTGCCAACGCTGTGCCCGGCTCCTCGTTTCTCGCGCCCACTATCTTGCCCCCTCGTTTCTCGCGCCCACGCTTCCACTAATCCCATTCGCCCGTTTGCGGTGCATGAGGTGGATATGCGGCTGTGGCAGTCGAGATGGAACATCTCGTGCGCGCGTTAATTACGCTCGCCGACCGAAGCGCCATCATCATATCTCCAGGAAAAACGAACCGGCTTGTCCCGATTTTTAGACCGGCCCCACCTGTCACCAGGCCTTAGGAAGTGGCGTCACGCCCGACCGCTTCCCTCGAGGAGGGCGATCGCCCTGGCATAACGCCGGGGGCTACTGTCGGTGACATGGGACCGGGAGTATCATGACTTAGAGACTTGAGGCAGACACGATCACCCACGTGGCCTAACCCCCTCGGGGGGGGGGGGGGGGGTCGGGCCCGAGGGTGATACGGCCGCCCTTCTCTTTGTCTCCCCGAGGGGTCGGACCACTCCCGTCTCGGCCCCGAGGGCCGAGGCGCCCCGACCCCTTGTGGGTTTTGCGCCGCGTATATGAGGTAGGTGAGCGTAGCAGGGCTCACCTAACCACATTTATTGCGGTTTGGACGAGCGCGTCACGCCGCATGTAACGCAGTGCAGCGCGCTCGTTTATCCGGTCTGTGATCAGTCACAGACCGGTCAGATCATGGGTTAGGTGGCGACAGGCGGTCTGACGCACGCCTCGCCCCATCCCGTCAGGACGAGAGCCTCCAAGCACTCGTCCCTAGCCGGAGCCGGCGTGTTAGCTCCTGGAGATGGCACGTTGGTTCCGGTCAGATATATGCCAGGCTTCATCCTAACCATTACAGGCAAGATATTGTATGAAGAAGGGCGAACATGCAGATTGTTAAACTGACACGTGGTGGACAAGAATGACCGATTTGTGACCGGTCTGACAATGGTCATGTCGTCAGCAGACAGCCATGTTCCCACGTCGCGCCTGCTTCCGGCGGAAGTGGAGGTAGGTATGGGCCGTCCCATCAGAAGGTCATTCGGACGGCAGCCATACAAATCTCCGTCCATTAATGAAGAGAAGTGAAGTAAGAAAGAGAGGGAGAGATGGTGCATGTGGTATCCCCTTGAGATATAAAAGGAGGACCTTGCCCACTTAGAGAAAGGGGAGAAAAAAGGATCCCAGAACGATTGGGGGCTGGCTCGCACTTTGTAGCTTCTTCATACACAGATCCACCAAAACACAAGAGTAGGGTATTACGCTTCTCAGCGGCCCGAACCTGTATACATCGCCCGTGTCTTGTGTGATTTCACTCTCGCGAACTTTCCACAGACCAAGAGCTTAGAACCTCACCCAGGGCCCCCGGCCGAACCGGCAAAGGGAGGCCTGCGCGGTCTCCCGGTGAGGAGCCCCACGCTCTGTCAGCGTGCGTTCATAAGGGTGAGTGTGCGCGCGTTATGAATGTCAACGTTGTATTGTGTAATTCTAAAAAAAATTATTTAGAGTTAAGAGTTTTTTTAAGAAAAGATATAGCCTTACCCATACCAAGAGTTATCCGAGAGTGAAGGCCTCCAATCCTATGAGATCTAGGCCAGACCCTATGCACCGTTTTCTATTTTTTGGGTGGCGAGAGGACATTCCCACTACAACCCCCTCCAGCGGCGAAGCCAAGGCCCAGCGACCCAGGCAAATTGCCCGGGCTCCACAACTACATGCAATCATGCCCAATTTCATAATATAAGAATTTCTAGCATTGCCCATATTCATATAGATATTAATGAATCTAAAAATTTTATGCAAATGTATAAAATATAAATCGCACTTAAAGTACTATGAGTGATAAAACAACCCATAACAAAATAAATTATAATTACATAAATTTTTTGAATAAGACGAATGGTCAAACATGTGAGAAAAAGTCAACGGTGTCATTTATTAAAAAATAGAGGGAGTATATGTCTAGATTCATTAACATATATATGTTGTCTACATTCATTAATATCTATATAAATGTAAATAATGCCAAAAAGTTTTACATTATGATACGGAGGAAGTACTTTATTTATTGTTAAATTTTCTCCAGGCTCGTAAAGATTTCTGGATCCACCACTCGCCCCCTCCACGTCCTCCCTTCAGCACAAGCACCACCGCACCGCCAGCCCTCTTCCAGCCATTTCCGACCACTGGCTTGATACTTCCCCACTCCCCATCCTCCACTGCCTCCTTAGGCTCCTTAGCAAGCCATTATTACCACTGGCTCGATACCCTTAGCAAGCCATTATTTTTCTTTGGAATTGTGGTGTTTTAAGTATTGTTAGTTTGAATATGATTATTCTATGCATGAGAAATAGTTAAACTATACACAACATAGAGTACACATTAAAATATAAGAGAAAAATAAATAAAGTTGCTAGAGTTGGAAAATATTTTTAGGTCCTCAGGAAATTGGACCAGCCCCCATTCCCAATTCAGCCTGACCTTTTCATTTTAGGGTTATGGACTTTTAAAACGAGAGGCTGTTGTCTGAGTTGCTATTATGAAACACATCGATAGTCTCCATTCCATCTGTGCTTGTTTTCGTTGAAAAAAAATAGGTGGACAAAGAGAAGTATGAACTAGAAATTTCAATGTTTTTCAATGGACCGTATACATGGATAATCCGAAGAAAAAATATCTTACTTTTCAAACTGATCACAACGCTGTGATCAGAGTATGCTGTACAAACAGGGTAAAAAACACGGTAAAAACACAACAATGTGAAAAGGAACGCACAGACTTGATATATAGTTTCCTCAGGAGTCCTCTGCGAGATTATACATTTGACGAAAAATAAAAATCACATTAACGGTAGGCCAGTTCTAATCTCTCTAAACCATGGCCACATGATCATCGGCAAAAGCTTCTCAAATATAAACGAGATAAAGAGAGCATCACATATTACGAATTTTTACATAAATACCAGGGAGGACGATCCACAGATGGACTCATCTCAAGCAAACATGAAAATGGTAACAAGAATGCCCTCAGAGCTCATACAAATATCCATCGATGGTGCGGGAGACAGCCTCAAATTGTGTGAAGGATCTGTGATGCTAAACCACTTCCTGGGATGATGGTAAAGTACACAGCCTTATATTTGAGGGCACAGGTTGGTAGCTGCAAATATGCAGGCATGGGAATGATGATGTGTGCGAGTTGGGGATGAAAACGGTCGGAAAAATGCTCAAACCATTTCCGTTACCATATTTGAGAGAGAGAGAGAGAGAGAGACGCACAGAGCGAGAGAGAGAGAGAGATGGGTACAGCACTTCCCAGAAAGCCAAACACCATCTCTGTATATCAAGTTTCATCATTGGGCTTCAAATCAAAGCATGGCACCTACGTAGTGCTAAACCTTGGTGAAACTGCCAATATCAATCAAATAAAACAATGATCCAATTCAGAATCGCAAATACTGGCCAAGCAACAACACAAAGGTACTAGAGAGTAGAAACACAATATGATATTGAACAGTTAATAAAAACAAACCTACACAAGCGACAACAAAAATGTACTAAAAGAAATGAAGCACTCATTATGTGATATTATAACAGAAAAGAATGCAAATGATGAGTCTCTCGTCAAGCCAACATACCCAAACCTGCTGGAAACAAAAAATAGAAAGTGTCCATTTTGATTAACCCCTTAACACTTGTCCAAGTCCAGGAATCGCTAACTCAACAAACCGTGGCCATTCAACATTACCCACATAAATAGTTTCTTTGCTGCCTAGGTGGAGGGGCCATACCAAAACTTATAATTATGTGCTAAGCAGTGCTGACTCATCAACATGTTCACTTGTACACATTTCACCAGCATGGTTTTGGGCAATGGGGAGTTTGTAATGATTTTGATAGATCAAAGATGTTAAACATGCGATATTTGTAGTTTTGGGTTGCCGCGAATGTTCAGGTAAAATGGCCAATAGTACAATAAAAAGAACATTGACAAAAAAACTTACAACTTGTGCATGTGCAGGGAAACTTTATTGATGGCAAGTCTCTCTGATGCATTTCATTGATGGCATATATGGTCAGTGATTTGCCCGCTAAAACTTATGCAGTACCTGCATTCCAAACAGATCCTTCGATGACAAATTCCCTACTCGTGCATGGATTTTGAGGGAGGAGAGAAGACCAAGTGCCATCTATGCATATTAAGTTTTTATTATTAGGCAATGCATTTAGATATGCTACTACCAAGCAAAGCAACATTGTAAAAATATGGAAATATGAACCTGCTGGTAATCAAGACCATGGCTATCGCAGGCTCTTGATTCATCGTATTATACAGGAGGTAATAAAAAAAGGTGGTAAACTAGATGAGAGAAGGAATATCGACAAGATATGTTAACACAAAAAAGAGATAAACAATGTAGTGGCATAAGTTGAGGTATTTTGAATCTACGAGGAATAGACAAGGTGGAGATATTTGAATTGTTCTGAACATCAATCACTACATCTGCAGCCATGATACATTAAGTGTGTACTTGTTTGCACGGCAATGGACCAACTCCGTCAGATAGTAAATTTCTGGGAGTTACATCAGGCTATTAAGGAGACACAGAGTCTGAGAGGCAAGCAACAAAACTAAAAGATCCAAACAAAAAGATTGAAAGGTCGATATTACCAAATGGCCCTCTGATTTCACAACTTTGTTTTTCATCTTAGGCTGGCTAATGCGGCAGCCCTCAATGCTGGCACTGAAGCATGTCTCAAGGGAACGGCAGAACTGGATGATGATGATCGATGACGACGACAACGACGACAACTGCCACAGCAGTGGCAGGAGCGGAGGAGGACGAAGAAGAAGAAGAGAAAAAGAAAGAAAGAGAGCTACTTTTCCAAAGCAGAAGCAGCAGCAGAAACCATGGTCCTGCCAATTGCGCGGACCGACATGTCAGTGTTTCTCCAACCCCTGAGCATGCTTCAGCGCCCAGATCATTGAGGAGCCAACGCCACACTAGCCATTTTCAGCTCAACCCATTGCAGATGCAAAGGGCAACCCCATTAGAGCTCAAGTCCGAGCCGATCTATCTATCCATCCATCCATCAACCAATCGATTTATCGATTCACGAGGGTCTTAGTCACAATCATCATTGGGCCAATGGCGAATCCAGGCAAAAACGAGAGAGATCAGAGGCACCATGCCACAGTGAAAACGAAACAAGCGAAATGCATAAGAGACAGGTGCACCAGAAAAAGGACCATCCATGGATGGACTCATCTCAAACGAACTGGCAAACGTGCCATAAGAAAAATAATGCCCTCAGAACTCACATACACAGTATCCATTGATGGTGCAGGAGACAGCCTCAAATTGTGAGCAAGGAAATGTGAGGCTGAATGAATTCCTGGAATGATGATGGAAGGTTAAGCTAGCTAGCTACACATGCACAATCATTGGAATGAACCATTCCAAATGATGACATGTACGAGAGAGAGAGAGAGAGAGAGAGAGGAGAGAGAGAGAGAGAGAGAGAGAGAGAGAGAGAGAGAGGACGGATGGATGGATACAGATCATACAGCACTTCCAGGAAGCAAAACACCATCTCTGTAAATCATGTTTCATCACTGGGCATTTAAATCAACTAAATCAAAGCATGGTACCTGTTATTCTACTGCAGAAGGTACTAAATTTAGGTGAAATTGCTAGTCTGAATCAAATAAAACATTGGTCCAATTCAGAATCAAATCCAGATGCTCTGCAAAGGTGGGGAAACATATATGACTACGTGGTCTTGAACAAGGAAAACTTCAACCAAGAGAAAAGGAGGGGAAATCGTGCAAGTGAGAATTTTCCTTTTTTAAAAAGGAAAGTCATAAAAAAGAGGGGAAGTCACGTTCTTGATTGATTGTATGAAGGGGATTAAGAAAGGAAGCAAATGAGTTATTTCTCAAAATATCATGGCTCATAAGTGGATAGTGATTTGGTTTTATGATATGGACGACTGTCATGAAGTCCAAAAGGTACCACTTCAATACACTCTGGTTTCTTGAACAAAATAAATAACATGGCAATGAAAAAAATAACAAATGAACTTATCACAGTGTAAATAAAGTAATAAACTAGTCAATCTGCAGAATGAAAACCCTCAGAAGCTCTAGCCTAGAAAAGGTGTCGAACTTATCACTTGGAGCACAAACACAAGCTGACTTAGAATAAGTCAATAAGAGTATCTAGGAACCGTCATCTGGGAAGAGTTAAAGAGTCAGCTCTGCTGGGTGTCTATCAGTTAAAAATGAGACGAAAATACTGGCCGAGCAACAAACAGAAAGGTTAGAGTAGAAACACAATAAACAGTTTAACAGAACAAACCTACACAAACCACAGCAAAAATGTACTGAAGGAAGTGCAAATGAAAAGCCTCTCATCAAGCCAACATATTCAAACTTGCAGGGAACAAAATTTTGAAAGTACTAAGTCCATTTTGATTAACCCCCTCAACTCTTGCTCAAGTCCGCAAGTTAAAAAACAGTGACCATTCAATATTTGTACCCACGTAAATAGTTTCTTTGCTGCCTAGGTGTGTTTTGAGTATGATGTGAGGAGCCATGCAAATTTTTATTGTGCTAATTGAGCATTTCACCGGGTCCACTACGTCCATTTGTACGCATTTCACCGGATTGGTTTCAGCAATGGGATGAGTTGCAATAACTTTGATAGTTCTTGAACATGTAGTTTGGGGTTGACCAGGAAGTTGAGGTGGTAAAATGGGCAATAGTAGACTAAAAATATCGAAAAAACATACAGCTTGTGCATTTGCAAGGAATGTTATGCCCTCAAGACTCACTTATGCATTTCATTTATGGCAACATATATGGTATCTGATTTTCCCGCTAAAACTTAGCGGTACCTGTATTCCAGACAAATCCTTTTGATGGCAATTCCCAACTGCTGCTGCTGCTGCTGTCACATGAGGGGGGAGATAGAGGGGGGAGGAGGAGCCGAGGAGGAGGAGGAAACCATGTGCCATCTCTGCATAGTAAGTTTTCATCATTGGGCAATGCATCATCATGCTACTACCAACCAAAGCAACATGGTAAGAAAAAAAATAATATGAACCAGATGGTAGTCAAGATCATGCCTATTGCAGGCTCTTGATTCATCACATTATACGGGAGATGATAAAAAATAATAAGGAATACAAAATGAGACAAGGATGAACCAGAACGTATGTAACAGTATGATCCTAATGCCCTCTGGCTTAAGACATAAATGCACCTCTGCATTTCAAGATGACACAAGAGACGGGCATCCAATTTGTAAATCAAAATTAGAACTCGACGAGGCATGTTAACACAAAAAACAGAAACAATGTAGTAGCATAAGTTGAGATATTTTTGCAATTGCTAGCAATAGACAAGTGGAGAGATGTGAACCGTTCTGAAGATCAATCACTCAGACATCTCCAACCATGATACATTACGTGCGTGCTGTTTACACGGCAATGGACCAATTTCGTGCATTACATCAGGCTATTAAGTAGACACAGAGAGTCAGAGAGGCAAGCAACAAAACCGAAAGATCCAAACGAGAAGACAGAAAGGTCTGTATTACCAATTGGCCCTCAGATTTCACAACTTCGTTTTCCATCTTAGGCTAATGCGGCGGCCCTCGACGCTGGCACTGGAGCATGTCTCAAGGGTACGGCAGAAGAGGACGATGATGATGATGCACGACGACGACGACGACCCGCCGCAGCGGTGGCAAGAGAGGAGGAGGAGGAGGAGGAAGAGGAGAAAAAAGAAAGAAAAAGAGCAGGTTTTATAGTATAGCAGAAGCAGCAGTAAACCATGTTCCTGCCGCGTGGGCGGGCCCACATGTCAGTGCCTCTCCGACCCCCCCAGCATGTTTCAGCGCCCAGATCATCGAGGAGCCAACGCCGTACTAGCCATTCTCGGGACCTCAACCCGCTTGCAGATGCAAAGGGCGAGCCTCAAATCCGAGCCGATCTATCTATCCATCCATCAACCAACCAACCAATCGATCGATTCGCGAGGGTCTAAATCGCAATCATCATCGGGCCAACGGCAAAATCCAAGCAAAACGAGAGAGATCAGAGGCATCAAGCCACGGCGAAATCGAAGCGAGCGGAAATGCAAAGACGAGACGGTAGGGGAAGCGGATACGAGTAAACCTCCCGCCGAAGCGGGGCCGGAGGCCGGAACCCCGGTTGATCGGATCGGCGAGCTCCCCGTGGCCGGCGGGGGCTCCGGAGGATCGGAGAGCACGAGGGATTGCGGCCTCTCCGCCTCCGCGAGACAACCCGAAACCCTAGTTTTGCCCGTGCTCTCGCGTTCTCTCCCATCTCTCTTCCCTCTTCCCGGTTGCTGCCTTTCGAGGCTACCAATGGCGCGACTCCCAAAGAAGGCAAGGCCACGCGGCAGCCGCATCGGCGCGGTGTGGTCATGTGGGCCGGGCCTGGTTCGACGTGGGCGGAAGTTTTAGCCCATCTGTGTTTCTATATGGGCCGTAAAATCACCTGGGTCATCGTGTGCTCGGCCCATATTGTCTCCAAGAGCTCCCCTACCAGCGATTACAGGCTTACAGCGTGTGATCATGGCACTTCTATATCCTATTTCCTTCAAATTTAAAACCGGGTAGGGGTAGTGTCACTAAACTCGTATTTGGATCCGTGGGTAGAGTTTGATGATTTTTGTTTAAACTTGTACTTGAAAAAACAATCTATAGGGAGTAGTGAACAAAGTCTGTGAAAATGAAGATATTTACTTCATATTTTTTTAGCTCCAGTGCTTCTAAAAGAGTAAATTATATCCATGGTATATCAATTTGGTAGATAGATGCAATTTAGTACAAGAACTTGAGAAGTGAGCGTTGTAGTGCAACAACTAATTAATAGATAGGTGCGATTTAGTGTAAAAACTTAACAAATTGTACTAAATTGCATACGGGTGCTACAACTTGCAAGGTGCGTGTGATTATAGTACAATAACTTTAAAAATATATGTAACAACATTTAATTATTTTGATCATTTTTTACCATAAATATTCAAATTTTAGGTATTAATTTTTTAATATACTCATGGAATTTGTAGAAGCATACTTCAATTTAGTCGCTCTAGTAACTAACAATCAATTAAATTTTAATATCTAAATAATATGTATTCCGGTTGAGATTTTAAAAGGTGAAGAAAAAAAATCCAAGATGATGGTGTAAATCGGATGAGAAACATAATTCTTGAATTATAGATTAAATTCAAAATTATAATGGAATATCCACAGTATTGCTATGTGATGGCATATTTTCATATTGATATCATAAAAAAAACTCATCTAGCATTTATTGACCAAAATAACATATAGATAGCCGAGTTACTGCACCAAAATAGTAAGTTCTCAAGTTGGTACACTCATCTAGCATTTATTGACCAAAATAACATATAGATAGCCGAGTTACTGCACCAAAATAGTAAGTTCTCAAGTTCGTGTACCAGACGCACTCACTTGCTAAGTTATTAGGGCATCCACAATGTACTCCAAAAGTAGTCCATAAGCAATATAATATTTGATTCAGCCACCTAGCAACATTGTGAAACTAGTCCATAGAAAAGAAATAACAAAAGCTACCCATAAGTATATGGGCTGCCCATAGAGAATAAAATATATTATTTGTCTCTATCTCTTCTCTCCTACTAATACTATTTGCTATCCATATACATTATGAAGGTTACAATAGTTAAAGTTCATATATGTGGGTCCCATCTCTATGGACTACTTTTGCCATATACATTGTTGTTGCCCTTACACTTGGACGCTCAATTTTGAAGTTATTGTACTAAATTGTATCCACTTGCCAAATTATTATACCTGGAGTGCAATTTACTCTTTTTAAAATATTTGCAGGTCCATTGCTGCTTCACTCACTCATCAGTCATCACGAATCCATATCAGCTATTTATCTCAAAAGAAAAAAGAAAAAAGAATCCATATAGCTACCGAGCCCAGGTTCTACCCGCTGAAAACCAGACTCGGTAAAGCCATTGGAGGAGAAATCCTATTCTCTTCCACAATCCGCCGGTATATCTCCATTCCAGATTCGATCTGTGCAAGCGACACTTCTTACGGCGCGTGACTGCAGCCACAATGCGAAAGAAGAAGGGATCGGATTACACCATCATTACTCGTACTATGGGGGAATCCATTACGCTTCTCCTCCTCATAGTGGGATTCCGCCGCGTCGTCCCATCATGCTGTCCAACGATTCGATCCGGCAAAGAAAAGCGAAGGGACAAAGAACGAAATTGTTCCACCTGAATTATAGGGAAGTAATGCTCTTTACTATGCTCGCATCTACAAGCCACTCTCCAGTCTCCACTCAACTGAATAGACAGAGAGATGAGATTTTATTCTTTGCTTCCCTATCTGAATATGCAGTCACACCATGTTTAGTTTTTAAATAATTCTTTAAACTTCCAACTTTTCCATCATATCAAAACTTTTCTACATACAAACTTCCAACTTTTCCGTCATATCGTTTCAATTTCAACCAAACTTTTAATTTTAGTGTGAACTAAACACAGGCTCAATATCATTTCTCATGTCGAATAAACTGGTGGAAAATTAACTCGCAAACACATAGTAGTACTGAAGAAACTTCATCAAGAAGTAATAGGACTACGAGTAATGCTCCCTTAAAAACACCTGATTTGATGGCCTCTCCAATTACGTGCCACCCAGCGACGAGATCACGAGACCACTCGCCCTGCACAAGGCAAAGTATAGGCATCAGTGCATCACCATCATCATCAGATAGATATGCACACTGTCACCATTATGGGAACAATGAGAACGGGGCACTACTGATTTGCACAAAGAATTACTCCACCATGCACCACATATATTCAATTATTTTCCTTCACTCGTGCTCTCCAAGCATGCCACAACAACATGTTCCATGGAAGAAAGAAGGAGGATTTCATTTCGGTTTCCAGTATGATGTGCATTCCAGCTCAATCACATTCTCCCATCACCAAGAAAAATACTCATTCTTCTCATCCAGTCACACTCATCATGGGTCCGTCCATAAGTACTCATCCTTTTACTATTTTAATTGCTCCTCCTAGCTGTACTACTCATTGTTGTCACCACAGAAATGTATCTTCTTCCTCTCCAATGGAAAGAGCTCAGCTTAAAGAGAGCTAAGACACCCAGCTTTATTCAGGAGATAAAAAAGAAAGAAGAAAGCACAGGTACATGTGCAATGATTCTCCCATTAGTCACAAACACTGTATTTCGCGCGGCAAGCAAGGGGACATTTGTAAATGATGCCATGATGATACATTGTGGTTGTGGCAAACCTTATTAAAATGGTAGTAGCAGTAGTAGTACAAAGTAGTAGGAAGAGTAATCTGAAAAAGAACTAGGAAGGCTCCATCATGTGAGACAAGTCCAGAACAACCGGATGCAAGCATGATTCTGATCTTATAGAATAATGCAAGCACACATGCACAACAGCACAAATAGTTGTAAAAGAACAGCCTTGAACCCACCCGGGCACAAAATAAGTGAAGCACTGAATCTTTCCCTTTTCTTTACCAGAACACGGCATCCATGCAAAGCTTAACAAAGACATGAACGGATCCTTTCAGCTTAAATCCGGAACCGCATGTACACCACACAAATGGAAAAATGCAATGCATGAACCGCTGTCCCAAAGGAAACCTATCATGGTGCTACCAGGTGAAACATACAGGCTGAGAAATCCAGTTCCAGGCTACAAGCAGAAATACAGCCAAGACGACACAACAAAATGCAAACATGATCTAGAGCCCTTGGGCATTACATTTCTCAAGTTGCTCTCTGTTGCATTTCCAGTTCTGCCTCCATTAGAGCTCACTGTTTCCCTCATTCGCAGGCCAGTTTTGTGTCGAAGCTACTTAAACATATTGCAAATGCCTGGAAAGCTGAGAGCGGATAGCGGTAATCCATTGTGAACATATCTTTTGCTACCTTACCAAACTGTAGAATAATCTTGTCCTGCTCTGGTGGAGCAGGTTGTGACGGAGTTGGAGCCCCTGCGGGAGGCTGTGCTGGTGCAGCAATCAACTGGAAATTCTTTACCGACGCAATGGTTACACGCCCACGGAAATTAAGGCACCAGCATTGGAGCTGCTCATGCCACCTAGGGGCCTTGTTGCGAAGCACTAGTGGCCTCTCCTTATTTTGCCCCTCTTCATCACCATTTATGGTGCCTCCAGCAATGTCTGAAAAGCGAGCACTGCTGAAATCACGGGAACTACTGAAATCCATGGACCGATCCATGATGGATGACTTAGAAAAGGAGGTGGTGCTGCGAAATGACTCCTCGAAAGCTCGGGGAACAATCTGCTCGGGCTGGCCAGGGACAATGCCACCAGGCTCGACTGAGGAGGCAGGTATGGAGTGCATGACACAGTGCATCCGCCTAGGGCCCCTGGTGCCAAGAACATTAAGCTCATATGTCACCTGAGCTATGTTATAACTACCAGACGGCATCTTAGGAGACACTTTCTTGGAGTTGAATCTTCGGCTGCTCCGTCCAACAGGAGGGATTACAGCCCCATTATAAGAGGGCTGTGTGTCATAGATTATAAATTTTGTGCCAAGGAAGTTTGACCTAAAAATGAAAGACACAACAAGGTTGGTTTGTATCATCAAATAAATGGAGCGAAAGGAAAGGTGTACCATCTGCACACAAAACAGTTACCTTAGTTTTCCAATATAGGTGCTGCTTGATCTTGAAATGTTGTCTGCATCCATTGAGATAACATATTCTGTGCAGGTTGTTTTGCGGTGCCTTTTAGCGGACAAGAGGAACTTGCCACTATCCGCAAGTACAGCTGATTAACAAAAATCAGTAGTGAGCCAACTTATTCAATTCAGGTGAAATCAAATTTGCCAGTTGTTTAAACATTCCATAACAAAAATATTTGGAGAAAAAAAACCATGTATGTGCACACATAAATGAGGGATAAAAATGGTGCTAGATGGTAGTAGATGTTTAACCAAAAGATAAAGCCTTGCAATACTGTTAACCAAATTAAGAAAAAAAATCTGGTCGTATGAGTGAAAGAAGCACAAGACATACCAGTACTCAGGCACAAGTAGAGATGATAAGTTGATTTAGATTTATCCCGCTTTATGAAACATTGAATCATTCCATCTCGAGGGCCAGGCTGAAAGTCAAAACAAGGATTATGAATTTGAGAGGAACAAATGAATAAGCAACAACCACACTTGCAGGTTGCTATCACTAAGGTACGAAAATATAATTCTTAACAACAGTCAGTTTAAGTTCTGCTTTCATTACAGGATGTGAAATTTTACCTGCTTTAGAGAGAGCGGGAAGGTAAGCTTCC